TCAAAGTCGCCATCTTTGTTTATATGAGACCCATATATTCTCCCACATGCGCAGCGCGACGACTACCGCACTTTAATGTTACCAATGACTTACATTTGTACAGCATATGTTGTAATCTATTGGTTATAGTCAAAATATCCTCATGAATATTCATTCTGTCTCTTTTTGTGCAGACAACAACCCCGTGCGTCTTTAACTCCAGCAATGAGGGGTAATTTTCCAACTTCTGTCTGTGGCCAACCAAGGACAAACGTTGTGTTTCTAAAGACTTATAAGACTGCCAGTACCACAGTCGCATCCATACTAGTGCGTTATGGAATAAACCGGAATTTATCATTCGTGTTACCGTCCGGCCATGTCGGAGATTGGTTTTCAAGAACACATCGCTTCAACAGTAAAATGGTGAAAAGCATGCTCCCACCTCTTCCAGGTACCGGCTACAGTATGCTAGTTAGCCATGTGCCGTTCAACAAGACGGCTATTGCTGAAGTGATTCCAAATGCCATATATATAACGATTCTGCGACATCCCGTCGATGCTTTCGAATCAATATTTGGATTCTTCCGAATTCCGCGTTACCTGAACATCTCAGCCAATACAAATCAAGATCCTCTGGAGGTGTTTCTCTCCAACCCTAAGAAATACATCAAACGCGCGAGTGATCCTTACCATAAGACATTATTAAGAAATAGGCAAATATTTGACGTTGGACTTGACCGTGATTACAATGACAACGATATAGCTATAGACACTGTGATTGAGAGAGCAGCATCAGAGTTTGATTTGGTGATGATAGCAGAGTATTTTGACGAATCTCTTGTTCTGTTAAAGAAGATCCTATGCTGGAGTTTTGATGACATTATTTATATAAAACAAAATAAAAGAAGTGATGTTCTTCGATTTGGGCTAAACGACTGGAAACGGCAGCGTATATTGGAATTAAATTCGGCTGATTATAAACTCTATCAACATTTTAACAGAACGTTGTGGATTAAGATCGAATCGTGCGGTGATGAATTTAATAATGACTTGGCAATATTTCGAAGCATGCTACAGAAGATGCATTCTGAGTGCGTTGACGATGACAAACACGAGAGTGACAGTAACGACAGGAGAGCTGTCACGTTTCTCAAAGACAGTGCCCCGAGTCATTGCAATGTGATAAAAGGAAATGACGATTTTACTGGCATTATCGCAAGGCAAAATATTAGTTTTACGTCTGCAAAGAATCAATAACACGATAACACCAGCTTCAAAATAATCTACATTATTATACATCTGACACAGGAAACTTGTTCTGAAGTGTTATGGACACGTTCGATTGTCTTTCCTATTTGGAAATTAACACTTTCCTTTGTTTAATTTAGACGCAGAAGCGCCACAAGCGCGTGATGGAAATGTCGTTCAGTCACTAGCCGCAGCCGTTTGCACAGCTCGATTGCACGTTCATTTCAGGGGGGGATGGGGGCTGTTATATTTTATTAAATTATTTCTACAAGCAGAGGGAAGATGTACAAGGTTATGACGAGAATACCGCAAAAGTGTTCATTCAGGCAGTACGTGAACGTATTGGCCCTCACGAAGCATCGATCCCCGTTCTGTATTTATACATACTCTCTTAATAACCCATTGCCCGATTTGCACAGTTTTCCCGAAGCCGACCATCCATGGCCCGTGCGAGATCGTGTTGAGAAAGGCTGTATTTTACCCTAGCTAAATTGAAAAATTTGATTGGGCGCGCCAAGAAGCTGGATCAGCCAATTAGCGCCCATGTAACAATAGCTCAATTTCAAATTTTGCCGACAGTGAATACAGGTTGATAGTGAAAATTCTGCCAAGTTATAATGATGGACGATCGAATAAATAATCTTTGGCTGGCGAGGATGGTAATAAGCTCTTATTAATATTAATAATGTGCGTTACCAACGTTACGTTTCAAACATTTGTGGTTGCCATGGAGACTATCGCCTACATGATTTCAATACACTAATCTGCTAGTGCGCGTAATAATATTAGTTTACAATAATGTATGAAACAAATAATATAATACAAGTGTACATATTAAACAAAATATTAATAATACGAAGCTGACAATTTGGCTTTGTATAAAAAAAATGGTATATCGCCAGCACACTCAATTTAATCAATTTATCAGAAAAGTTTAGACATCTTTCCTGACCATTCATCAAACCTTTTTTCAATATAAATTTACCATTTTCTAAATCACTTTTCCGTTCTTTAACTGTCAGACACATTGTCAATTTCCATTCATCTTTTCTGATTTTCCACAACGTTCATGACGTTTTATAAGTATGATCAGTATTTGTGAAGTTTTTCATGAACTTTTCAGACAGACTACATTTAACATTCTTTTTCAACACAACGTTTTCGCCTTCGTAAGACGTCACGTTTTTGTTCTTCAATCGTCTATAAACATTGAATGTCAACACCATTATTTATGTACTAGCTGTTTGAGATCAGAGTCGCGTGTACTCTCCATATATGCAACTATTTATACAGCAGAGAAAACAAGAACTGACCACAAGAAAATAGACGGGCGTGAATGTCTAGACTTCAGCCACTCAAGCACATACACAACTTATCACTGTGGCAACATTGGTCAATACAAATCACGTGATTGTATCATGGCTTACAAGTTTTTGTTCGATTAACCCATGGAGGTAACCGCATCGATCCAATATAATATAAATAGTACGTATGGTATATCTTTATCTATAGACAGAATGCAGCGATTAGTAAATTACTAAAAACTTAAAAAAACACACCACATTTCAACATTTATTTTTTGGTTGTCATTTCTTACGTCATCAATTACGAAAACACAACACGGGTTGTACTGGATAGTTTGACTATCTCGGGCTATGCACTATGATACCCCGATTGAGCTGATAAAAAATAAGTTCAATAAGTTCATTGCACGAGGTTTATTTACCCACTGCCAGCGCCCATTCTGCATACATGCTCGCATTTGTCCTGCAATATTAGTAGCTAGCACCCGTTACTGACTACAAAGCAATCATCGAAAAACTCTTCGAGTTTGGAAAATCAGCAGACTGGTTTAAAGAAAATGGTATGCACACATTTTAATTGTATAGCACAGATCACATACTACGTGCAGTGACGTTGCTAATCTGTGATTGCTTTCCAAACCGCGTGGGTTTAATGAGTAATCACGGATTTTGTTACCAATCACTTACTGTGGATTTATGTTTAATAAAACAACACAGTAGCAGCTCAGTTGCTAGCGATCGATGAAAAAAAAAATGCTGAGTCGGCTATGAACATACGTCACGTATTTAGAACCAGCCCTGTACCGATTGTATCAATAACAAACCACTCGACTACTGACATATCTATATTGATTGATACTCTTAAGCAATAAACGCGTTTGTACATCAATGCATGTAACGGCGAGTACGTCACAAGCTGATGTATTTAGCTCTGTACGACTTATTCGTACCAGAAGGAGCTATGTAACTATAAAACTATGCCTTGTTCAATTTTCAAATTGTAGAGTTTTGATTTTGAATTAGTGTGAGAAACATCTCGAGAGCGTTTGTGTTTGCGTAGTGTACGATTGTTGTTTTAACAAAAGTCCGGACCCCGCATAAATACAATTCAGTTAAATCGATAAGCGTCTAAATAAATTCACTAGTTTCTATAGTTGATTTCACCAGGTTTGGGTGAATTTTCCACAAGCCCTATCGTGATTTTTGCGTGCGTGAGTTACGCAAAATTTATATAATTCATGTATAATCACGGGCCACTCATTGCATTTCTTATCGTTCACAGTTTGGCTGATCAGAAGAAACGTGTTTCCAGTCTCGGGTCTTGTCACTGAAAAATGTCTCTTTTAAAAAAAAAGTAAAGAGTAATTTTAACTCTCGTGTACGTTTACCATGAGAGAACAAGGTTTGTATGAAAGTGCCTGATTAATTAGTAAAGCTGGATAGTTTCCAATTTGCCAAAGAACAAACTGACCTATTCCTATAACAAACATTATACACCGGCCAAGTGATTGACAGCGCGAGTAGCCACGTTTCATCTGCTAATTTCTTGCATTATTGAGGGACATGCCATGGTCTTATTGGCCATCAATAAAGCTGGCTTTAAAGTTTTGGTGTGTGTTGAGGGGGCAGGTTATTTTATGCAGTTTACACCACGGTTGGTTAGTGTTTGTAATACTACTTTTTGGCCCGTTGCTAATGCTCTAACAGTTGTTTCAGTTCCAAACGGTTCATGTTCAGTAGTTTTCTTGTTCCCAACAATACCCATTTACTAGGAGAGAACTGTATTTCCGAGCCAGAACTGGTCTCACATGAACCGAGCGAGGAGCGCAACGTTAAACACCTTACAATATTTAAGCATCGGCGAGCTGTGTGGTCACTTCATTGAATAATTTGTGCTTGAAAGCAACATATTGTTTACTATGACATGTACATGAATCAGGTACAAATTCTACAGGTCATTGACATACGTTGTGTACTGGTAATGCTTACTGAATACCGAATAATTCAATTTTATCACTTTCCGTGGTGTAAGTGCATTATCTTCCGAGTGGCGTAAATGGCAGTCACTATCACAAAGTATTGCAATTTACATTTTTTTCCAATTTGCATATAATGAATAATCTTACAGCTTTTTAACCTTGTCATACGTATTTCCATCCATTTAACGTACATGCTTAAGAAGCCATACATGTATAGCAACGCAACATAACATAACCGTTCCACAGTACTGATAACCAAAACTTGATTTGAATTCATTTCGCATGTAAGAGTTGAATGCTCCCTCTGTTAGTTAAGAATTGTGTCATTGGTAAAAAATATCCCTCTTGCAATATAAAGTAGACGTGTAGATGATTCATTTATCTTTAGAGAGTAAGAGTGTTTAGATCACATATTATTACGACAGAGGGTCAGGGTATATTGTAGATATATAAGACATTCATAATGCGAGCAAGTATCTCGTTCGAGGTGGAACAAGACATATAGTGACAATGTAAACTCGTTTCATCTTACAGGGACCCAGACACGAATAGTTGACTTCATCCAGAGTGAAATGCACCTGTCTCCAAAAGTGATCGATGCTTTACTTTTTTGATGCAATGTGTGTTTGTTATGCTTTGACATAATTACTTCAGCAGGGATTGCTTCCACTTTTTCAATTCACTTTGTCTCGCACTTTGTCGTAATTAATTAATTACGTTATATAATTTGGTTTTGGAAAATACAGTGATGTAATTCATTTAGTATTTTCAGGAAAGGTCGACACACAACATATCACTGTGACAACAATGTGGGGGGGGGCAGTTCAACGCAATTCACGTGTCCGCATCATGACATACGGGTCATCTGTCATTTCTTATATCGATTACGCAAACACAACAAAGGTTTGTGCTGAATAGTTTGACTAATTCGGGCGATGAAATGTGACACTTCGGTTGAGCTGATATGAAATAAGTTCATTGTATGCGGTACATTTACACGTTGGTAGCACTCATTCTGCGCAAAGGCTCGCATTCGTCCTGCAATATTAATACCAGTAACTAGCACTCATGACTGACTACAAAGCAATCGCTGATGGAGTCATCGAAAAACTCTTTGAGTTTGAAAAAGCAACAGACTGGACTAAAGCAAAAGAAACGGTGAGCATAGAGTATTCTTATGGTGCAGAGGACATAATTCGTACAGTGACATTTCTACTTCAACTGTTAAGGTCACAATGAACTACTTAAAGTGCATGGTTTTAAAATATAATCACGGCCTTGTTTATGTGCTACAACTCTCAAAGTGAACAAGAGACAGTGTGGGTTTGAAAATACACACCCACAGTGATCAAAATTATGGGTTATATATACATATAAATCACAATTAATGTACAGTTATCTGTAGCCATTACAATGCCGGTTTACACTCTGTGTATGAATACAGGTGTGACCGGTTCACAATAATTGGTTTATAGAAATAAAAGTAGTTCTTGGGCAATAGATCATAATACCACCAGTGGTATAATGTGCTTTGTCGACCAACAATGGGTATACACGAACCCTCTGTAGCACTGAACTCACGTCATCCTCTACCTAGAAACATATTTTGACGTTTATGGTTGTCTGGTCTGTCAACTCGCCAAACAAATATCAATATGTACAATGTTGAAACCTGCAGCAGATAATAACGAATGTAATGCGATGGACATATAAAGTCTATCACTCTCCCCATTACAGGACACGCCAACTTGAAGGGCGGTGTAGTTTCCGTGACCACATGCGTTTGGTATGGGCTGCATGCCGGTATTGCACATCGAAAGTTTACGCACGTGGTTTATTTCTACAAAAAGTGAAAACACAGGGTCGTGACGATGGCCTCTTTAAGGTTTACACAAACACATTACATTTGAAATCAGTATATATTGATATTTTCCAGAGAGAAATAACAACTTTCTACAAACATTCACCCGAACTCGATGGTCGAATGTAAGTACAAACAATACATTAATATTTCTATATCAATGTTATCGAAGATAGTTGAAGTTAATTGAATTTGTTTATTAGATCATATTTCTACAAACCGTGTCATATATACTGCTGTATTTCACTAAATTTATTTCATTTTAAATTTATTTTAACATCATCGCGATTATGTACGGCGTTGGTCTCAAAATACCATATCACAATCTTTCCTAATATTTTAAAGAGCAACATCGTGTTACGAATAATTTCTGCAAAATACTAATGTTGCACTTATTTCATTTGATTTAAAGGAAATCAGCTTATCTGATCGAACTATGAAGAAAATAAGTGTAGTTGTCACTTTCCTAGTATGTACGTTATATAATTTATAGAATGTTGCATTGAATACATGCATGCATTCAGCTGAAATGATTATTGTCAATAATATCTACAAATCTCCCTCTATCCCTGTGAATCATTTGATGTGTGACATTTACATCTCCGGCCACTATTCAGCAATGTAGTTACACGCATTCGAAACTGATTTTATATCAATTGTTCTGTTTCCTGAAAAGGCCTTCAAGGATTCATACTGCCCTAAGTGTTCATACAAAATTTCCTTTTTTATACTTTTTTCGGCTTGTTAGTTGTGTTATGTAACATGTGAATTTGGCATATAACTCCTCTGCATCTGTTCCCTATCAGTATGAACATTTTTGTGATTTATTGCTTAGAATTTCAGGGTCTATTATTATCAATTGTGTGAACTTGTCATTCATTTGGGGAGAGGTGGAATGGTTTCATATCTTGTTTTCTGTATGATGTCTTAAACCCGTTTGTTTGTATAATAATGGCAAATAATTTAGCCATATTGCGTCTATATACATATTAACAAAAAATTAGTATATAAATAACCTGATAACAACGCGTAAGTTTACGCTGCCACTGATAGAAAATCATAATATAATTGCTGGGACGCTGCTTGTGAGAATGTTAAGGTGAAGCAACGATATACATTAAAGAGTTCAGTTGAAGTGCCGCACAACACAATTCTGGTCGTGCAGCGTTATATGTTAAAAACAATTATGTAAACAAATAAAGAACAATACTATTGTTTCACTGATAATTCTCATTATTACAATATTATAGTATCACAAACTGTACTATCTTCGTCTTATTGTTATAACTTACAAATAAATTCTAAATCTAGGTTCAAGATGGAATTTGTGATAGACGCGCCAGCAGAAAAGGTTGTCGACGTCATAATGGACATTGAAAAGCACCAGAAGTGGAATTCTTCAATTGAAACGCTCTCAACCATAGAACAAATCAATGAGGTACTGTTTACTCTTCATAATAGTCAGTCATGGCAAAATAAACCATACCCATCTGTCCACATTGTTATATTATATAGACAATAATAGAATTACTCAATGATCTATTTACTCCGGAGCATGAAATATAATTAACAACGTGATAAATAAAGATTGTTCAGATATATCGTAATGTATGATGATATGTTTTTTTACAATTCATCAATAAAAAGTATGCTATATATACATATGTGCGTGTACAATGCAATTATTACAAAAAAGTGAGAGATGACCTCTTCGACAAACACAACATACTCCAGGACATTACTACGAAAATTAAAATATACAAATGTTAAAAGAGTTAAGTAAATTTATTTACCAGTGCTTTATTATAAGGGAAGACAGTTTAAAAAAAGGATTTTCAACTGTCTCATAACTAAGAAACACTATTTTCTTTTTTACTAAGCATGTTTTTTTTTATAAATTATCTTCTTTTTTTCTACCTGTTTCGTATTTTATTAGTTTTAGTTATATTTGTAATTCTGTTTTGTCATTATTTTCACATATATATTACCTTTATTGTATTTATCAATACCTCATTGTGGTTACGATTTCAATACAGTTATTATTATGAATACCACTGCGATGCATGTCGGGTAATACCCGGTGAATACCGAGCTGTCCATAGACATAATTACGCAATTATCGATAAAGAGATACTAATTATATACGTGTATATTTATTTTAGCACATGAAAGTAATATACAGCGTAACTCCCAGTCACCTAGGTGGTCTCGTATCTCATCGAGACTTTTGTGACTTAATTGGTGTACGTCATTTTCAGTAGAAAGACGTGCATGTGATCTACGGTATGATATATCCTTGCATTGTTATATAACGTACATACGAGTACCATCGAAGAAAGAGTCAGTTATTTACACCTATTGATGGCAAATATTGTTAGCTGATATAAGATCATTTTGTGAGTTGGTTACACTCGCTATTCAATGATGTGACACCCAGTTGTCAGTTTGATATTAATGTATTTAGTTCTATGGCATCTCATAATTTCCAGATCTTCTAGAAAAATAAGTCAATTGTAATCAAATTGCTGCAATTTACATATGTTTTTGTGCATATAATGGATGTTTCCGCGCCGTCTAGCAGCCATAACTACGCCCATGGCAACCTGTTTCGAATAAGATAATTATGTAACCCCTTCACATATATAACTAATGCTTGATATTTCTATTCATTCATTTACTTGCATAGCAACCATACACGCCCATAACAACATCACAATAACATAGCAGTTTCACAGCTCTCATAACCGTATCTTTATTTACGTTTATTGTCAGACGTAAGTGTTGATCACCCAGCATGCCCACCTGTTAAGAAGTATGTCCGTGCTCGAAACTACCCATCTGGTCATTTGCTATATAAAGGGTAGGTGACTCATTATCTGTGATGTTTGAGAGTTTTAGGAGTACAAACGATATATAAACTATAACAGTATGTAGGGATCATACACACAGTGCCGGTAAACAAGTAGGACAGCTACATTGTAACCTCGTTTTATCTTACAGAGACCCTAACAAGACACGACTGGTTAACATCAACCAGAGTGAAATGCACCTGTCTCCAAAAGCACTGGTTGAACGATTGATACCTTTCCTGGTACCAGTTTACTTTAACGATCTTTCCAAGGGCGTTAAAGAGTTATAATTCTTGAAACAGTTAATTTTTAAATAATATGTTTATGCACAATTTGTCTGTGATGACGATATTTCCACGTTTTAAATAACAGGTACGAACTTTATTACATAGGATTGTGCATATTCGCAGCGAAACTTTCTACATGTTATCAACGAGATAATGAGTGACCACACTTTTTTGAATCGTTATAAATAAGCTAATGAAACAAAAAATCAATTTATTACTAATGTGCTTCCTATATGTTACTAAGGTTAATAGTTATACGGAAAATATCTTGTAATATGTTTAGTCTGGTCCTTCTAAACATTCAGCTTTGCGATTACCGTATTCACTTAAACCATGATGGGCCAAACAGAAAAATAAAATCCCAATTGCCGCAATCGTGTGTGATTTATAAAATTATCGAATACGTATGAAACAATAAAGAATGTTGTTTAGCAGGTGCTTTATCACGTGATTTGTCATTGAAAAAAGATAACCAATCAGAAAAGATTTAAAGCTGTATTTAAAACCATTTCCACGTTGCTGACTGTCCTAACGACTTTATTGATTTTACAGGCAAGTGTCACTTCGTTCGAAGTAATTTTATGACTTTCTTGACAGCTTATCCGACTTTGCAGACAATGTTTCCAACTTCCTAAAATAATTTTCTCTGAATGTTTGTCCGTTGAAACTGTATGTTTACACTATCATTTAGGGATAGTTAAACCAATATGGTACAGTGTTAACCATATTCAATTATCAATGGGCTTAATTTTTGTTGATGCAATGAGTGTTTAACATGCTTTGACCTAGTTGTTATTTGGAAGTCAACGCTGATGACTGTCTTCCTGGCTTTGAATACGACTTTATCGTAGTTCCTAGTATTTCTCGAACAAGCCTTATCAATTAACTTATGTGAACAAGATTTACATAATTATTACTCATTGGTATATTATATACGAAAAGAATTTTCTCCGAATGTTTGTCGAAAGTTTGAAATTATATAATTTGCATATTAATATTTTACTTGTTTCACAAGTATCGCTCAACAGATTGTAATTCACCATGGTACATGGGTGCTCTTGGAAATTGTGCAGTCTTAAGGGTGAAACCATGTATGGAAATGAACTAATTTGCATATTTATTAGCCACTATTTTGCTTTTCATCAGATATAATCAAACTTGGTACTTCTGGTGTGAGCCAAATAGATGTTCCGTTCAGGGTTTATTTTTGTGCTTACCAATTACCTAATTTGTATAAACTAACAAATTATAGCTTTTCGACAGAAACTTGAGTACCACTCGTCAGATTTTAATAAAACTACGCATTTGGGTAATCCTCAGATCTGATTTCCCCGGGGTAGAAATTCACGTATATTAATTACCAATAATATGCATACCTATAATGCACATCTGACAATGTGGTTATAAAAAATGTATCAGATGACTATATAATGGGGTCTCAATAATATGCATATTTGTAATATGTTAATTAGCTAGGGACATGCAACTGTTGCTCTAATTTTGTTGTCTAACTGCGAGAAAATGGACGGTCATGGCAAATTCAAGAAAGAAATGTATACAGCACTTTTAATTCGCTTCTTAATAATATACACAACGGTGTTTTTCTTTTAGAATTAAAAGGAAGAGACGAACCACACATGTTAAGTACGCTTGATAACAGTGTGTCTTCGTATTTATGCCTTGAGCCACTCAAACACCCCCACAACACAACACCACGGCACCAATGGGGGACACAGTTCAACGCAATTCACGTGATTGTATCCTGACATACGGGTCATCTGTCATTTCTTATATCGATTACGCAAATACAACAAGGGTTTGTGCTGAATAGTTTGACTAACTCGGGCAATGAAATATGATACTTCGATTGAGCTGATATGAGTTCATTGTATGCGGTACATTTACACGTTGGCAGCAATCATACTGCACAAAGGCTCGTATTCGTCCTGCAATATTAATACCAGTAGCTAGCACCCATGACTGACTACAAAGCAATCGCTGATGGAGTCATCGAAAAACTCTTTGAGTTTGAAAAAGCAACAGACTGGACTAAAGCAAAAGAAACGGTGAGCATAGAGTATTCGTATAGTGCAGAGGACATAATCCACACAGTAACATTTCTACGGCATAATTATTGTGAACTGAGGTCGCAATGGACTTCAGTGAATGGTTTTAATGTAGAATCACGGACTTGGTTAACAAACAATTACCTTGGAGTTATTATACTGATTTGACTATGTTGCGTAATGTACTTATTAGCTAATTAATTTTGATTTTTACCCCTTTTTGTGAGTCTTGTCAGTCATT